GGTCGAAATATCGAATTATAATTTTAATGTTTTAGTTTTAATTGTTTAATTTTTTATTTTTATTATTTTTATTATTTGATTAAAACTTTTTTATTAAAATTCTTAACATGATAGCCGCATTGGTTTTAAAATTTTTATTCTTTTATTGTTGTTGTTACAAGCCCTCATGCTTTTCGATGTACCTCCTTTGCAACAATGTGACATCTTTTATTATTCCTTTTTCTTTATTGCAATAAATATAAAAGAAAGAATAAAAGAAGCATTTCCATTGTAGATGTAATGACTTCTGATTTCAGTGGACTATAGGTAATCGACCGTGCTGATCCCGAATATCAACATCAGACGGGCTGCCAGGTCTTCAAATGCCAGTTTTCTGGAACACCAGTTTTCAGAAACTCTAAAAGATAAGCAAAATCTTTCTTAATGAGGCATGATTGTAGCCAGCAAATTTCTGATTAAAATAAGACATCTCCCAGCTATATATGACCTGTCTTTACAATAGTATAGAATTTAAAAGAAAAGCCCTAAATTAATTTCTTCTTATTTCTGTACTTAGCTTTGAGCTGACAAGGAACATTTAGGACTTATCTGGTAAATTCTATAACTTTGCAGACAACGGACGTGTAGAGCTGGGAGATGGCTTTTTTTTAGTCAGAAATTTGCGGACTACAATCATGCCTTATAAAAAAAGGATTATCTTTTAGAGTTTCTGAAAACTGGTTTTTCAGAAAACCGGTCTTTGAAGGCCTAGCAGCCGGTCGGATGTTGATATTCGAATCAACATCGATTACCTATAGCCTACTACATTTCGTTATAAAAACGAGGGGACATTTGGAGAGGTTCCCTTCGTTAGTACGACACGTTCTTGGATGAACAATACGTCCCTTAATGTTAACTGCGACAGAGCAGGTAAAATAAGTTTAAATTGAAAACTGTGATTCAGTCCTAAAACATCTGACAAAATTATTGTAGCAATTCCTCATACACTTTAAGTTCTAACTGTATTTGTTAAATGCCTATCGTCATTGAAAAAAAAACCTGCGTGATCTGTTAAGTTTTTAAAGATGTCATCAGTTCTTAGAAGATATAGAGAGTCAAACACGAAGCACTTACATTTGATCAGCACTTACAGGAGAATGTAATACATTGCGGTTTCGTTTGAGATTGTATAGATGATATATCGATAACACTTAATCGTATTGTTATACATCGATGTAGTTGTTTTTTGTCCGGTCTATCTTGTTCATCTAAGGACAGTTGCATTGAGATTGTGTCGATCAACAACTTTAACATTGATTCAGAAGGCTTAATATTGTTCTTGTACAAAACTCGAACGCGATTAAGCGGAAATGATACATATACTTCATTTTTATCGTCGCTTTTCCTAACATTAACTGAGTCTATGAAATTGAGTTCATCCAGTTCATTAATTTCCAAAAAATCTAATGTGTTTGTAGGTAAGGATTCGACTGGACGTTGTTTACATGTAAAATGATACACATCGTTTTCATCTGGAAAGATTTTTGATGGCAATAGTGTTTTTAGCTTAACATCACATCACCATTAGGAGAATTTACTATTTCTAACGTAATGTTGATTATTTTTGTTGACCACGAACTTATCGATGAGCGATGCGATGTACTCCAGTTTTTCGTCAGAGTATACGTTCAATAAAGTGAACCAATTCTTGTAATATAGTATTATCACCTAACTTTGAATCAACATTGATGAATGATTCTATATTTATATTTAATAATACTTCATTGTCCTTTAGAAAAATTTTCTTTTTTCTTTCTTTCTAAAACGAATAATACACTTACTAAACATAGACTACGTTAACAACGCGGTGATGTTAGGCCGCACTAGGTTTTTTTGAAAAACTGTCTTTCATGCACGGTTGCATGTAACAGTGAGCCTTCAAGTGAGATTGTGACTGTTTATGTCAGATTGTGAGCTTTCTTACCTTTGTTTGAGTCAAAGGTGTATGTTCGTCAAGATCCATATCATCGCATGATGAGTTGTAGTCATGACATGGATCAAAGACGTCAGAGTCCATTCGATCGGCTCTTTTTTCATTCTCATCAATAGAACACGTTGGTAAGCCCACTTGTTGCAAGAACAACAAAGTAACTTAAGAACAAAGTAACTTGAGTATTTAATAAATTGCCTTGTTTCGGCTGAAATATTGTGGTTAAATAACATGAAAAGTGTAATGGTAAATTTGTCGTATAATCCACCGCTGTTGTGTCACCAATACTGGGATAAATGAGATAAATGGCACATTTAATAACCGATGGTAATGATACTAAATCCCACGGTGACGAGTCCTTGAAGTTTTTAACCATTTCGTTCATAATATAATCTTCTAATGTTTCAAATAATATTTCGTAAACAAGATATTGTTGTTTATATGTAGCCAAATTCTTAATTCGATGATGTTTCGAAGCCTAAGTTCAAGTACTGATATTGAATTAGAGTGCAATAGCTTAATTGAGTTATATAGACAATTGCCATGACCGACTGCGCCTAATGGTATCAGTTCATTGATATTATTAACATTAAGACAGTAGCTTTTTAGATAGATTAAAGCTGTGTTATCCACTTTATCTAATCCGTTGTTGAAAATCGTTCGAGGATTATAGGTGAACTGAAAACAATTTAATGTTGTCTCATAGCCGCTGCAGATATTTTTGAAACGAATAGAATCACGCTTCTGGGCTTCTAATTTCTTTACTTTCATAGCTGTTTCCCCAATATTTTCTCTTCCAATAATCTGAATACTTTGACGCAATTCATTGTTACTATCAGTGAACGTTGATTGTGCGTTCTCCTACAAAATCAGTCACTACCAATAAATGAATATACATAAGAAACAGAGCCTAAGACAAGAGTATATGAAAGGTAACTTACAATCTTTGACATTTTCTTTTGCCTTTTATGCGGCTCAGTGAGCAGACTGGAAGAGTTGTAAGTTCCTTTTTGTTGTTGTGCAAAACTAATATGTAAATAATGCAAGGATACCGTAACATTTACCCAGAATAAAATAGAACATCGTTCCCAAATAAAATAGAAAAAATCTGTGTGGGTAGTATAAGTATAGTCACCAGTATTTTAAATAATGGGTATCTCGCTTTACAATTAATCACTTTTCTTAGTTAATAGTAAAACAAGAGCAGTTAGAGTCAACCTGTGACAGAACAGCACTGTGAACATATCTTCTTCAACCAGTTGCATGAGTAACTAACTGTTGAGCGGTAAAAAATAGCACAGTTAATTTCAAGTCAACAGTCAAGTGCTAATACTGATGTTGATAGATAGTCAGAGTTTCAAGCTTTTAATGCATTAATTGACAACAATAAATCAGATAAACAACGTTTGTCAAATAGTTCTCAGGTTCTGGATCTTTAGAAATCAACTTGTATCTGGTGGAACGACCTTGACTGAAACTTTTTTAATACAGAATTTGACGTAACAGATAATCATGTTGAAAACAATTATATTCAACGTTACAATACCGACAATAATCAATAGGTATCTAAAATGTTTTGTGTTTGTATCTAAATGGCTTAAATCAGGGGCATTTTTAATATGATATTGCTTATCCAATAATTTTGAAATGTTTTTGCTAAGCTTACCAAGATGATTAGCTTCATAAATAAATGGTAATAAGATCTTATTATCAACTGTGGCATTGTGTATCAACCATGTACTATTTGATCGTTTTGTAGAAATTTACCATTGCTAACCATATAATAATCGATCGACGGTAATGATAAATTTAGTGGACAACATCGAGTTGATGCCTCCATGGAAACATTTTGATTACACTGCATGGTTGTCTGGCATGGTAAGCTGACGAGTGCAAACTTTTTGATTACAAAAATTTCACGAAAGACGTTACTCTTGTCAGTTATGTCTTTCATACCACAAATAGTGTCGTTTTTAACTGATATTATCCATTTATTTTCTCGAATATTATGAGTATACGGAGCAGCTTTAGCTGATAACGTATATGAACATGGTTTATCATCGTCTTCCGCAAGCATACTATTTAAACAATCATTTTCAATGTTATTCATTATCGCTGGTAAAACATAACAAAAAGATATTTTTAACACGTTCCTAAATTACAAAAAGATATTTTTAACACGTTCCTAAATTACAAAAAGATATTTTTAACACGTTCCTAAATTACGGTCGTTGTAATACCATGAGATAGACGTATTATCATGATAATTGATACCGATATAGCGTGGAAGACCGAACAGTTCATATGAAGAATGTTTATTAAAAAATAGTGTGCTATTTAACTGATAAACAATTGAGTGACTATCATTAGCATCACTCGAAGTAAAAAATGTTTGTGTAATAATTAATGTACCGATTGGAATAATTAATGAAATATCATTTGTTTTCTCATTCCCATTTGTCGTATCATTGTTATTTATAGCGAGATGAAACGAATGAAATGCTAATAAGCGATTTGCTGTTAAGAATAAGGTTGTTCAAATTGCGTCAGAAAATCTGGTGAACGCTTTAATAGTGTATTGTATAATTGACCAGCTTCATCCTGTGATATATAATCTATATTTGATTTTTCATCTATGAGTTTTTTTAGTGATGCTCGTATCTTGTCATAGTGGAGTTCGTCTTCGATCCCTGGTAATAATCTTTCTTCAATGTTATCAACGGTTTTTTCCATCATTTTAATTCATTAGCAAGATACGTATAGCGTTCTTTTAGCTCATCAGTCTAGTGTCGAGAATAATTTAATTCTTCTACAATTAATTTTTCGTTTTCAGTAACAGATATTACAGGAGCTATTGTTGATTTTAATAATTCATCGCTTTGTTGTACATGTGGAAGGATTTCTAGAAAACCTTTCAAAAACTAACGTATTTTCTAGTTGATTTTTAAACCTTTTGTTGAACTGCGGAGTATTAAACAGATAAAACAGAGTACATCTTGGTAACTTACGATGCAAAAGTAATTGGGGAAATCTCCAGTCATGGTTCTCCGCTCAGGAACATCGCAGAAAGTTCATTCTTTTTCTGATTGAAAGAGCAAAGCCAGAACTTCAAAAAAGATAGAAAACAAGATTTTTGTGATTGGCTTTGAGGAAAGAAAAAAGTACGATACTAAATGTCGCTAAAACACCTCTTGCAACTTCTGTCTTCTTCAAACGTATCTCTCGCATCAAACCTGTTTTTCCATATACAGAATCCGTTTGAATTATATAATCATAAAAACTAGAAGTGCTTTTATCACTCTTTCAAATAGGGTATGATAAATTAAGCTTTGATTCACTTTTCGACGGGAACTTTACAAAATTTTTCATTAGTTTCAGAAAACACGTAATTAGACTTAATTAATAATTTTCAGATACTGGGCAAATTTCGTCCTTTTTCTAAAGCAGATTTTCTGGAACAGCATGCGATTCTCTACAAATTCACATTACTTTAACCTTTACTAACATGTTTAGGGCCCTGAATAACGAATTTTTCTCGATGTCACATCTTTCCCATGCAAAGTAGTGCTTTCCATCAAAATTAAGACTTATAATGCGCTTTATTAACCGTTAAAGAATTACTGAGAAACTTTCTAAAGTAGGGAGGTCGATAGAATTTTGCACGGGCTACTTTCTTATCTATTTGGCTTTCAAGAAAACGTTTTCTTCAGACTCTAGTAAAAAAATAAAGAAAAAAAGTACGTTGCAAGAGTTTTTTTAGCGACATTTAGTATCGTACTTTTTTCTTCGTCAAAGCCAATCACAAAAATCTTGCTTTCTATTTTTTTTGAAGTTCTGGCTTTGCTCTTTCAATCAGAAAAAGAATGAACTTTGTGCGATGTTCCTGAGCGGAGAACCATGACTGGAGATTTCCGCAGTTACTTTTGCATCATAGGTTATTCTGGCATAATTTGGATGGATCTCGACTGGATTATGAATTTTTTAATATTACTCAAAAATAGGCAAAAATGGATTATTTCCCCTAATATAGGTTTTCACTAGATTTTTGAACTGTTTTGAAAAACAAATGTTGCCACGTTTATTTTCTGAATTACCACATTCAAAATTCAGCTAAATTAACTTAAATTCACGTAAATTCAGTTGAAATCACTTAAATTCAGCTAAATTCAGTTAAATTCAAGTAAATTCAAAAACGTTTCATATTCAGCTGTTTCCCCTTTGAAAAATGCACGTCATATAAGAAGCAAAGTTACTGTGCTCTGTTAATGAATCAACGTGTAGTAATCGAAGATGTGTACAAAAAGAACGCTTCTGTGATGGGAGAAACGGTAGGCTTTGGTAATTCAATTTGGCTAACATTTAAGTGGTCAGCAGAATAAAGGAGTGATCCGTAGATTGAATAAATGATCAGTTATTTAAATAATTTGGTTCGCCAATATATTTAAAAATTAGTAAATTAAATGAAAGGGTCAGTATAAAAATCGAAATCAGTTATAAGATGATTCACTTTTTTTTTCTGTTTTTCTTTTCTTCGCAATGGGGTATTTTCCAAACGTTTTCTTCCCTTGATATAGTTCAGATATTTTCTCATCTTATCATGTTTTCTTCCAAGTGTCGTTGATTTTCTCCTAAGTTGTTCATATATATATTGTCAGGTTGTGATTCACACATCTCTACCCACTTATTTCTTATGTATGTGTTCTTGTCGTTTTCTTTCTCTTATTTGATATTTTCCTTTCATTCTACTACTGACTCATATATAGTTGGATTTTTCCTTTTCTGTCATCACATATATGTGGATTTTTCCTCTCTTATACATAACATATGTTTCATCTTTTCCCTTGACAAGTATTTTCTTTATGTGTTATTGTTCATATGTATTATATCTAATGGGATTTTTCCGATCACTTCACAAAAACAGTGTTGATCGGTGAGAAAAGAAAGCGAGGTAGGCCAGCAAAGGCTGAACGTGCATTGCTAGTACAGTAGTTGGATTTTCATTTTCTTTTTCCTCCCATTCGTTCTTTAAATTTCTGGTTCTATTTAATGTTCTTTTGGATTCCTTCTTATTTCTTCTCTGTTTTTCTAATTTTGTTTTTTAAATTTATTTTTCGTATACTAAATTAATCTTTATATGAATAAAACTTATTTATTCTGCTGATAAAATCTGCAATTTTACTGATAAATTTGGATTTTTCGCTGACCAAATTTGAATTTTTTACTGATCCTTATATATAAACAGCTGAGCATTTTATAATTAATTGCTGACCGTTTTAGTGCTGACCATTTCAATATTTTCGCTGCCATTTCCACATATTTTTGCTGGCCATTTCATTAATTTTGCTGACCAAAAATTACGTTCCCATTTAATTTTATAAACAAAACTGTAATACTGATATTTTGTAAGCTGTGTGAGATGTTCTTTGCGTAAAATGAAAGAAATTCTTTACTCACTTCGAAACACATGTACTTTCATCACTATAATCTCAATAATCTATCATAAGATATCAATATTACAATTTTGTTTATAAAATTAAATTATCAAAGTCTACGTTTTTTCATCAAGGATAGAATACTACTATATCATTTCGATTATAACTATGTGTTTGCTAAACATAGTTGTGGAATGTGGTGCCGCTGATGATCATGATGTATCGTCTCCGACATTTTGGCAAACTTCAGACACTTGCAAACAAGCAGTGTCTGTAAAAACCCAAGAAATAACTACAGATAATTCAAACAAATCAGGCTATACCATTTCATTTACTATTGACCAATAGAAGAACTTTCGGTAAGAAAACTCAATACTGGTTAATTCTCTCTGTCAACCACGAAAAGCTCACTCTTCAAAAAATCACCAGCAATCATCAAACAATATTAAAAGATATATCCGCTGTTGACTATGTACTGCATTTCCAACTGTATGGAATACATCACCATTACCAAAGAGGTGTACCTAAATGAAAGGTAACATCATACAGATTAAAAATCAGAAAGTTGAATACAATAAATTATAAATAAATCATAGGAAAAGTAAAAAAATTAAACTTAAAATTCAATGACCTTCCTCAAACGCTATTAATATTAGGCAGTATACACTATGTGTATTCGAATTAAAGTTAAAAATAATATCTTTATCAAATTATAGCCGTCACATCACTATTCGGTTATTCAACATTATTTACAGGTATTATGCATAATAACTTTACAATCAAACTCTACCGGCACCTTAGTCATCGAAAACTCTTTCTACTACAGATATTTGAGAAAAACGACGTTACATATATGAAACTCGGATTAAATCAAATACGCAAGCTCATAAATCCAACGAATTGTCTGATTCATTACTATATAGTCTTATAGATGATGATGGCGGATAGTTTGTTTATATTGATTTGAACCAAAACCTGATCTAGAATTTCAAGTTAATAGCATCACATATTGATTTTGAAGAAGAATTTAAGAAAATACTCAAAAAAGAAGCGAAGATAATATCCATTGGTCTTGGTGGAAAATATCGAAAGGAAAAATGTCGAAAAAGAAAATGTCGATAAAAAAAGAACTAAACGTTGAAGAGGAAAATATACAAGAGCAAAATGCCGAAAAAGGCAAACGTCGAAAGCGCATAATGGATGAAGGAAAATATCGAAAGGAAAACGCCAAAAAGGAGGAGATTGCTTTCTGTTTCTTGAAAATCACTGAACGAGATATACGTATTATTATCATTAGAACTACTATTGGTTCTCATCAGACGTCCCCAACCTCGTAGTAATTATAGCCACTCATCGAAAAAGTAAAGTATGATGAAGTTCAGTATGGCTGCTACGATGAACGTCTCATCTTCACCCCACGGGGACATCAGCCCCAAAGCAATCAGGAAATACAGCAGCTTTTCAACAACGTTTTGACACACTCAATGGATGATTTCTCAATAGAGAATTTAATGCAAAACAGTTACTGGCTGGATTATCGTTCTTGATCAGGATAAACGAAAAGTTAGTTCACGATCTATTGGCCCTATCATTTCTCTTCTACTCTCTTTCTCTATGTAGTTTAATAAAATATCTCTTTCAGTGATTTTCAAAGGAACAGAAAGAAATCTCCTTCTTTTCGGCGTTTTCCTTTCGATATTTTCCTTCATCCATTATGCGCTTTCGACGTTTGCCTTTTCGGAATTTTGCTCTTCAACGTTTTGCTTTTTTTTTATCGACATTTTCCTTTTCGACATTTTTCCTTTCGACGTTTTCCGTCAACCCCATATCCATTCTCTTGTAATTTTTTCACTAAAGTGTAAAGCTAAATAAAAACTATTACTGAAGAGGAAGGGGCGATATATTAGAGAATCCCGCTGTAACAGAGAATCTTCCTACGTTAGGAAATCTCCCCTTGAACTCTTCACACAAGAACCACATTAGAAGACTCCCTTGTTTTATCGATTTTCGGTCTGAAAATGTTGTCTGACATAATAGAAGATCCCAAAGTCGTGTGCATTTAGCCGTAATAGAAGACGTTGGTCTTCTAATGTGTCATCGTCCCCACCCCTTTACTAACTAATAAAAACTATTTTATGTCGTTTAACTGTTGCCAATTTAGATAAGATCATTGATAGAGTGTCAATATCAGTTTGCTCTTGTTCTTGAAGAGCAGCAGCAGCAGCAAGTGGTTTAAATGAAGTTGTGTCGTCAGCACATAAAACAGCGATGGCAACAGACAGAAGAATTGATAAATAATCCATTCTTCTATAAAAGACAAAGAGGAAATTAGTAATCATAATAGCAGTCAAAATATGCTTATGTCATAACTAAAGGGGTTATGTTTGATGAAGAAAATGATAATAAAACAAAGATTACTGGCTGATTTATTATGACAGCCATCTAGCCATGGTAAATATTTCTTTCTTTAACACTTTCTTTGGTCCTCATTCCCTAAAACTATGTGGAGGTAATTGCATTTTTTCTTGCCCATAGGAAGCAATCTCTCTCTGCTTTTCTTAAATAGCTATATCTCCTTTTATTGAAGACAATTCTAACAATTTCATCTTTCTGTTTGAGAAACTTTCATAACTAAGCAAAGTTGTTTTAGAACGATTCATTAACTTTAATGATGCTTTAAAATAAAGTTGTACTTTGTTTATAATCTCCCATTTATCGGCTCTTTTACAGCAATGAAAATGCATTGTTTGTTTTTATTTTAAAAAAAGATGTACTATGCTTATGACGAAAAAGAATAGCATTAGCAAAGGAACACATAATGTTACGTTAATAGTACGTCATTATATAGTATTATCTGTGTTCTGGATATTAAACACGGTCAATTATTTATTCGACTTGTGTTATTTTCCCAAAAACTGACTGACCAAAAAATTTTGTTTGTTATTCTGTAGTATCGAACGACCATTTTTTATTGTAGCGAGATTTTGTAGTTGTACAAGAAGAACAGAAATATAATCCACTGTTATTTACACATTTGAAAGGTGAAAAAAAGAAAGAAAACTGTCGGATGTTGAAATATCTTAGATTGTATCCGAAATACAGAGCTTACAGTTTGTAGAACTGTTCCTAGTTCTCTAGACTTCTATAGGGAATAAAAGACATAATCAGTTTCCGACAACCTAGGTGAGAGCACAAGAGAAGAAAAAGGAGCTTTATGACTGTGTAACACATATAGAAAAAACCCTTATATGTAAACATGTTAACTATCATGGCATATTTTTAGCTTCATCCACCCATTCTTTTTTGATTAATTTTTTAAATTGAACATAGTCCATATCACTTTTTGGATCAAAATGTCCGATACTTTTACGATCGTTTTTTATATAATCAAAATACTCGTAATGATCCTGGTCGTTGTGACCATATTGGTAAGCTTGAATGGTGATACAAAGATTTGGTGACGTGTTAATAACGCGATGAATTTGATTCAAGCCAGGAGATAGCCATGTAACATCATCTTTTTGAAATAATTTTGTCGCAAATGGTATTTGATGATTAACATTGAACGTTGAATACAATTCGGTAGTGATTTTACCATGAAGTACCCGAATAATTCCGTATGAGTTGCTGTGAACGTGTATTGGACTATAATGTCCAGGTGGCCATATTTCCAATACATAGGGATGTCCCGGTGAATTTCCTTCATTGACACCCATTGTGATTCGAAGATATGTTGCTTCGATGTTGTGTTTACCGAAACGACTGGCTTTTTCATGCAGTGTCTTGTAACACCATCCTTCTGGTTCTGAGCAACTGTAATCAATAGCTGGTACGAAATTCGGAAAATCTGTCGTGTTCAGGTCCCAATGGACGATATCATTGAACAGAAGTTGATTTGGTCTTTCAAGACGTGATGGTAGAATAGCCTTATTGTGTGTCAGGTCAGAAATTTGTAAAGCAGGAACGATGAACAATGGTGGTTCGAGAACTACGGCATTTTGTCCGATATGAATACGAATTTTGTATTTAAAACTTATTAATTCTTCTAAATTTTGACTGTTATTCATTGTCAAGTGAATGTACTGAATTTGTTTCATGTCGCTTTTTTCGTTCTGATCGATAGTGCTCTTCAGCAGTGTCAATTTATCACGAACTTCACCTTGACCATATTTAACAAAGAGGTTATTAGAGTCAATACTAAACCAGTATTTATGTGCTTCATTCCATGCATTAACTGTATTTGAATAATGCGAGTGTAGTACTTGATTCTCGTCATCTGTTTTATTGATTAATACCGCTTTGCTCTTAATAATTTTATGAAAACTAGCTATGCCTTTGTTGACAGTCAGTCTTATTGCATATTGACTTTCACTAAGGTCTTGCGCATCAGAAAGTGTCAATTCAAATGGTATCGGTTCCAACTGGGCTATTTCAATTGTTCCTTTGCCTTTGATTTCTAAACCCCTTGTACAACTCTGAGCCTTCCATGGACACCAAAGGTTATTTGGAGGCGTAAATTCTGCTGTAGGCATGTCTGGAACTAGAAATAACAAAAGAAAAACTCTGAGATGATATAGGCAGTACGAACAATAAATCCTGCAACTTACGTTTGTTTTCACATTTTCCAAACCATAAGCATGATTCTAACGATGATATTCTTTCTGACATTGCAGCTAATTGATAGCCAAATATTCTATTTAAAATAACCATTTGTTGATCAAATGCGTCCATAGGCACAAATTGCATTGAACTTTTGGTGTATACCGGAAAATTTTCTGTTGAGATTTCTGCATGAGAAAAGAAGTAGTTATTTGTCGGACACATATAGTCACAACATAATAGAGCCCACTGACTAGCAGTATTTAAGGTTAAAATGTTTACCAACATTTTATTTTTTACTTGCCTTTCAGTATTGCCTTTGAGGTCGTAGTAGTTGATGTTCTTGTTCTAGCAGGAACAGTAGACGAAATTTGTGCTTTAGCGCTTTTAGCGCTCCATGTTGACTGGCCTAAAAAGATAAGTTGCCTTATGGTTAGACTTTAAGTGCGGATCGAAACAGCCTGATGACGCCATCTGTTCGATTTCAGTTTCCATGCAGCGCCATCCTCATATAATTTTTAACTCCAACAAATATCTTTACAATCAGCGCGACGTCTTACAGATGGTACTACAAGCGACAACGTTCTGTTCGATAGGTGGCGAGCTGAAATCATCACCATCACTTCCGAACAACTGCAATACCAGCTGCATGCACTTCCGGAGCCTCGCCTTTAGACCACTCTTGGATCAGAAAAATTTTCTCATGGATATCGAAGACAATATCGTAAAAGCGGTCATATGTAGAGAGAATTAAAATGGCAACGGTCCTTGTAGCAAACAAACATTTTTGTCATATGTATCGAAGTGATTTTAAAATACTTTGTTATTAGACACATTTCGAGACTTTTCGCCCATGACAGAACCTCAGAAAGATGCAAAAGACTTACGTGATGCTTATCAACGTTACTAGAGTTTTCTTTTTGTCTTCTTCAGGTTATATAAGTATCTCGATTATGTAAAAAATTCCTTTTTCTTCTGTCTTTATCGTCTTAATGTAAACGAACGCTTAACAATACGTGCCACAAAAGCGGGTCGAAGACCCATAGATATTTCTATCCTAATCTCTCATTCTTATTTTCATTATCGATACTTTATTAATTATTTTTATTCGCATTTAATTTTATCACGTTTGTAGATCAACGTTAGAATTAAGCTATATTATAACATCGTATTAGTATACTCTTAAAAAAAAGGTGTCCTACGGAACAAAAAAAGGGTTTCGAGAATTGAAACCATTTCTAAACCTTTTTTAGGTTCGATACGAACAAGGTTTCGTGCGACACCTTTTCTCCTGCATTGAAAAAAGGTTCCATGGAGGTATTTTCCGTAGTGATTCTACATATGGATTTTATATAGTTTATTTTTGTATATTTGTCTTGAATTTATTTATTTCTACTATCTAGCAACAGGAACAACCGAAAAAATGCAAGTATCACCAAAGAAAAGCCACTTATGCACAAAATTTGTCGTTTGAGAATGAAATCCGCTTCTGATAAAAATAAGCGTAAATATTAGGAGTGAATCGGTTTCTTTTTCGTATTTTCCAAAAATTCATAATAAATGGTTTGTATTTTCATAAAAACGAGCTGCAACCTTCTCTTAAAACGGCAGTTTTGTAGAGAAAACATTTCTCTACAAAATAGTACAGAAGGTACTTTAGAAGTTTTTTGTTTCCTTTCACAAAGTGTTTTCCTCAAACCTACGGTCGGTTATAACCGATACACCTTTCTATCAAAAATGCTTTTTAAAGTAATCAAGAAACTTTAAAATTAACTACTATATACCATTCTGCAGAGAAATGTTTTCTATACAAAACTGTCGTTTTAAAAAGTGTTGCAACTCGATTTTACGAAAGTATAACCCATTTATTGTGATTATCAAAAAATTGGCTGACCTCGCATACTATAAAAACATATCACCTTACCAAAGGCACAAAAAACAGAGAGGGCAAAAAGAGATCAGTCAATTTTGATAACACAAAAAGGCCATCTACGGATAATAAAACTTACAGCGTATAGTATACTTCCAGTTCCCTTGGGGTCTTCAGAGGATATCTAGCTTGAGTATACTAATTAGCAAATGGAGCGGCAGAACTGTGTTAAATTATACTAGAATTTAAAGTTCCGAAATGGTCCCTTCTGCTATCTGGCTGATGAACTGCAAATATGTAACTGTTTTAATAAATTTTAGAATATGTTGTTACACAAGAAAGGCTACAGTAGTTAACGGATTCATAAAAAGTAAATAAAGATGGAACACGAGAAAGAAACATTAATAATAGTATATATATACATCCTTACTATCTACATAGTCAGTAAGTTTCTTTATTCAAATATTCTTCGCACATAATAACGGGTGGCGCAGAATAAATTAGACTGTCAGTGTTTTTGAAATTCCTTCTCTTCCTCAAAGTCGATCGAGATCATTCTTATATCAAAAGATTCGCCTTTCAATTCTCTACGAAATGGTATATAACTGGTCAGGCTAGGTCCTAAGAAGGTGCGTTCAGTGAACATAAGGTTGTGTACTTCGAAAAAGTGAAGAATGTAATCATTTTTTGATAAGTTTTTCCAGCCTGAAATTCATCTCTAATCATGAGTGCAAACCAAATTTCAAATTGATTTCTACGTATTACGATGCCCTCCATTCGTTGGAAACTAAATTTGTTTCCACTTTTCTCCTCTCTCTATTTAAATGGAATAAATAGTTAACTGCCGACATAAAATCACCGAAGTATCAGTTACAATAACCCAATTCTTTCTCAGCAAAATAAATATGAACGATTTGGATATGTATTCAGTGGCGAAAATCCTTCTTTTCAAAATAGCACATTCGGCAGCTTTACTGATTTGTTCTTGCTCGAGATATTGGCGATTGATGAATAATCTTAATACGTGCTTCGAGAAAAGCTAAAGAAAACAGTGATAGCGCTTTTACTAAAACAATTATTCAAAACAACAGAATGACACGCAAACTTGGTCTTTGTGAGCTAACAGATCAGAAATCCGAGGGCTACAAAACTGCGTATTCGGCTTTGATACAATTGCATAGCTGGATTTATTACTAGAGAAATAAGTTTCTTGACATTTACATTTTCTGCTTTTTCGGAGTACACAACCTTATGTTCATTGAACGCACCTTCTTAGGACCTAGCCTGACCAGTTATATACCATTTCGTAGA